AGACAGCAACAAAACAGGGTAGAACACAATTTAGAACTAGGCAAAAATTGACAGCATTTAAGTAGCAAAAAGGGCAGCCAAGGTAAAGCAATAACAAAGGGTTTTAGAGCATCAAAATTGCAGCTAAACATCTAGAAAATCATGATGCAATATGACAGTAGATAGAGTGGAAATGAAACAGAAAACACAGTAAATTTCTGGCAAGTTTTGGTCAAATTTCATGCTGAAATTTTCAACAGAATTCACACCCAGAAATTGACTGATCTGGGTTGAGTGGTCAAAAAATAAATTGTAGCCCTATGTCTTAGCGTTCTATAGCCTCAAGAATTACCTTAATCCGATATCTATAGAGAGAGTGATAATCAAAATACTAACAGAAGGTCGGGCTGCAGTGCAGTCCGCTTGCAAGGACCGAAATTGCAGCAGCATTTTCACCATGAAAACAACTCAATTGGGTTAAACGTCCAACATAAAAGTTGTAGGGCTATCTCTTACCTTTCTATAGAGTTAAAATGGACTTAATCCAATAACTATAGAAGAAGTTATGGGCAAATTACTACAGGAGGTTCTTGCAGTCCGAACTTGTAGCAAAAAAAGGGTTCAGATCTAATGATGCTAGATTATGAGCAAAATCAAGCGAAAAACTACAGAAACACTCCCAAAATTGAAAACCCTAAATGATTAGAACTAACCCACTTCAAATCTAAGATCAAAAGATGAGAAACATGGCTAATTTCTTACCAGAAAAGTTGTAGGAAGAACACCCATCAAGTAATCCATCACCGACAAGAAAGAAGGAATAGCCAGCAGAAATTTTTGATTCGAGGGTTGTAGAGGGAATAGGAGGTTGAAGGCTTCACGGGTTTTGGATTTAGAATGGAAGAGGAGAGGAAAAACCAAAAAGAGAAGAAGGAAGTCCGAAAAGAGAAGGGAGAAAAATAAAAGGGAATTAGATTTCCTTTCCATTTTATTCCGTCCACCTCTTCCCCCTTTTTTTTTTCTACTAACATCTCCAAAGATTGAAGAGTTAGATAACTTGGTCTCCTATTAAAATTCATTTTTAGATTACTCCTTTCATACATAAATTAATTAATCATTTAATATAAATACTTAAAATTTTGAGGTATTACAACAACGGATAGATAGGAAGGCTAAACTATTACATAACATTTAGTTCCTGAGATAAGAGGCGCAAGTTGTTTGATTTTGCTCTTCACTTTGTCATTTTTTAGGAGTATGTGAAGGATGCAAAAAAAAAAAAAAAAAGAAGAAGAGAGAGAAATCCAATTCCTTTGAACTACCACCATTCATATATAAAATCAAAACTCTAATGCATAAATAACTGAAAAATATATGATACAATGAACTGCCAAATTAAAGATGTAAACATATCTACATGAGGCAAAGCTCTAGATTTACTGATCTTGGAGAACAGTTGGAAGTGAGAAAAGCCATAGATTGGAGGGAGGATATGGCTAACAGGTATTTCCTTTTGGAATCAAATTGTCCATAGGTTGTACAAAAATGGCTATCTCAACAAAAGAAGAAATTTCCCACAAAGGAGAAAGAAACATCAGAGAGGGAGAAATTCGCACTTTTATTTATCTTCCCTAGCTGCCAAAAGGAAGAGAGGCAATGGCGAGGGAAAAAAGCAAAAGAAAAGAAGGTAGCGGCTATGGAAAATGAAAGAGAGAGGCGTTAGGGTTTTAATTATCTTTTTTAAAATAATGGTAAAATAAAAATAAATATATTAAATAACATCTAAAAATAAA